CTATTCCATTGCTCTACATGTCTGTTTTTCTGCTAAAACCATACTGCTTTGATTACTCTAGCTTTGTAGTATGGTTTGAAATCAGTAAATGTGGTGCCTCTGGCTTTGTTCTTTTTCCTCAAGGGTGTTTTGGCTATTTAGGATCTTTTGTAGTTCCATACAGATTTTAGGATATTTTTGTTCTATATCTGTAAAAAATGTCATTAGGCTATTGATAGGGATTGCCTAGAATCTATTGTTTTGGGTAAGATGACCATTTTAACAATGCTGTTTCTTCTAATTTGTGAGGACAGATTATCTTTCTGTTTCTTCAGTCTCTTTCATCAGTGTCTTAGAGTTTTCAGTGTTTACCTCCATTACATCCTTGGTTAAATGTATTCTTATTTATTTTATTGCAATTATAAATGGGATTTTTTTCTTTAATTTCTTGTCTGATTTTTTTTTTTTTTGTTATTAGTATATAGAAATGCAGCGATTTTTGTAAATAGATTTTGTATTGGGTTGGCCAAAAAGTTCGTCTGTTTTTTTCTGTAAGATGGCTCTAGTAGTTCTTTGTTGTCTTTATCTTCATTTGAAAAAATTTTGTTAGATTACATTGTGACAGCTGTCATATCAGCATGTATTTAAAAAATCAAAATTGGTGAATTTTTGTGTAGCCATTTTAATATTGAAAATGGAAGAAAATGCATAACATTTTTGGTATTTTATGCTTTATAATTTCAAGAAAGGTAAAAACGCAATTGATACACAAAAGAAGATTTGTACAGTGTATGGAGAAGGTGCTGTGAGTGCTCCAACATGTCACAAGTGGTTTGTGAAGCTTTGTGCTGGAGATTTCTTGCTGGACGATGCTCCACGGTCAGGTAGACCAGTTGAAGTTAATAGCAATAAAATCCAGACATTGAGAACAATCAACGTTCTAACATGTGGGAGATAGCTAATGTAATCAAAATATCCAAGTCAATAAAGTTATTAGTGAAATGAAAATAGTGTCTTCTATTTTATGGGAAAACCAAATTTTTTGGTCAACCCAATACCCTGAAACTTAAATGCAGTAGTTTATTATTTCCAACAGTTTTTGGTGGAGTCTTTAGTGTTTCTATGTATAAAGTTGCATCATCTGCAAGTAGTGACAGCTTTACTTCTTTCCAATCTGAATGCCTTTTATTTCTTTGTTGATTGCTCTAGCTAGGACTTCAATACTGTGTTAAATAATAGTGGTGAGAGTGGCCATTCTTGTCTTGTTCCTGATCTTAAAGGAAAAGCTTTCAGTTTTTCACTGTTTTCTATGCTGTTAGCTGTAGGTTTATCAAATATGACCTTTACTGTGTTGAGATAATTTTCTTTGCTAGCCATTTTATTGAGAGTTTTTTAAATTAATGGATGTTGCATCTTAAATGCCTTTTCTGCATCTATTGAGTTGATCCTATGATTTTTATCCTTTAATTTGTTAACGTGGTGCATCACATTGAACTGCAGATGTTGAACCATCTTTGCAGCTCTTATATAAATCCCACCTGATCATGGTGTGTGATCCTTTCAATGTATTGTTGTATTCAGTTTGCTAGTATTAATATTTCATTAAGGATTTTTACATCTATGTTCATCTGAGATATGGGCCTATAATTTTCTTCTTTGTGTGTTCTCCTTGTCTGGTTTTGTTATGGTAATGTTGGCCTTGTAAAATAAATTGAGAAGTGTTCCTTCCTCTTTGATTTTTTTGGAGGAGTTTGAAAAGGATAGGTATGAAATCTTTGAATATTTGTTAGAATTCACTAGGAAATATATCTGGTCCTGGACTTTTGTTTTTACAGAGTTTTTGATTGCTGTTTCAATCTTACTAGTGATAGTTCTAATCAGATTTTTTGTTTCTTCATGATTTAGTCAAATTCAGTATGATTCTAACAATTTATCCATTTCCTCTTAAATTTTCTAATTTGTTAGCAGATAGCTGTTTTCATTAGCCTCTTAGAATTCTTGCATTTCTGTGGTATCCATTGTAACTTCTCTTTTTTCATTTCTAATTTTAATTGTTTGAGCCTTCTTTCTTTTTTTCTTAGTCTAGCTAAAGGTTAATTGATTTTATCTTTTTGAAGAATCAGCTCTTTTGTTGATCTTTTGTATTGTCTTCTTAGTTTATATTTCAATTATTTCAGCTGATTTTTATTCTTTCCTTTCCTTTCCTGATTTTAGGGTTCATTTGTTGTTTTTCTCATTTATTTATGTGTGAAGTTAGATTGTTTAGGTTTGTCTTGTTTCTTGAGGTAGGCTTGGATTGCTATAAACTCTGCTCCTTAGTACTGCATTCTGTAGATTTTGATAAGCCATATTTTCATTTCATTTGTCTTTATTATTTTTCCTTTGATTTTTTTTCCATTGGCTGAATAATTGTTCTATAGCATATTTGATCTTCACATATTTATGATTTCTTCAGTTTCTTCTTATAGTTGACTTTTATTTTCATACTGTTGTGGTCAGAAAAGATGCTTGATATGATTTCATTCTTAAATTTATTAACAATTATTTTGTGTCCCAATCTGTGGTCTACCTTTGAGAACATTCTGTGTGCCCTTGAGAAGAAGGTGTTCTGTTGCTTTTGGATGTAAGTTTTATATATATGTATCTAAAATCTATCTGGTCTAATATGTTATTTAAGGCCACCATTCTCTTGTTGATTTTTTTGTCTGTATGATCTATCCATTCATGTAAATGTATATCTTTAACCAAATTTTCTGGAGTTTTGGCATTATTAAAATATATTTTTTCTGTTCCAATCTCTATCGCCACTCCTTCTGGATCCCAATTACACATATATTGGAAATTTTGGAACTGTTCTCTGTTCCACAGGTACCAGAGATTCTGTTCTTCTTCTTTTTTTCCCTTTAATCTTCTTTCTTTGTATTGTTTAGATTGGATAATTTCTGTTGAGCCATCTTTATTTTTCTAAGGGTAATTACAGAATCATTTTTATTGTTTTCTTTATCAGTCCACAATTCTTCCTCAGTTACAAAGAATAATAGACTATGTTTTGCAAGAGGTGGGACAGGGCAGTATTATGAAGACAGAAAATGAATATATAATAGTTACACTGCCATAAGGGAAAATATAGACAGCACAGTTTACATCTTGTTAATACAACCATAATAACATTAATCTAACAGCCTCAGATATGGAGGTCTTTTTTCTTTTCTTTTCTTTTTTTTTTTTTTATTTTTTTTGGCCAAGCACGGTAGATAAAGGGATTTGCAAATACTGCTTTTAGATCCCTGCGACCACGCTTGGAGGTGAGACCACTGAGGCTGTTGTGCTATCTTTAGGTTCATTGACTCTTTTCTCTAACATCTCCTTTTTGCCTTTGAGTTCATCCAGTGAATTTATTTCACATATGGTTTTTTTCAGTTCTAAAATTTTTATGTAGTTCTTCCTTTACAGTTCCTCTTTCTTTGTTTAGTTTATATTTTATCTTTTCATTCATTTCAAGGGTGTGTTTGTTTACCTCATGGACTATAGTTATAGCTCCTTTGAAGACTGTGTACTATTCGAAACATCTTCATTTGGGTGTCAGTATCTTTTAGTTGTATTTTTTTTTCTTTGACGGTAGGTTACATTACCTTGTCCTTCGAGTGCCAAGTAATTTTGCCTTGTTTCCTGGACCTTGAAATATTATGATATGCAGGCTCTGGGTTTTGTTATAAACCTCTGGGGAATATATTGATAGGTTTGTTTTAGTAGATATTCAAACCTGTTAGTTCAGACTGTAAATTTTTTTTTTTGTTTTTTGTTTTTTTGTGTCATCTTTCACCATCTCTGTGCCCTTCCATCAACTTAGTAATTCAATTCTTGTTCTCCAAGCATTTGCTATGCATTGTGGGTTTGTCTCACACATGTAGTTTAGGAAGTAAGCTGAGACTTGTAAGTAATGATACTCAGAAATAGAGAATCACCTGTGCTAGCTCTCTTTCCCTCAGGGTTTCTCCCACCCTTTCCCTGGTTCTTTGAGCCAGAAAGGTAGTGGGGTTTCTGTTTGAGTTTTAGCCACATGTGTTACATTAAAACCTTAGTGTGAAGCCATGAAGAAGGAAGCAACACAAAATAAAACTAGAGACACTCTCATGTGGTTTGCTTTTCCAAATGTCATCAGTCTACATGCTTTTGTTTCCTTTTTTTAGTCCGTAGGTAGGGTATGTGTATGTGTGTGATTTGGGTTGGAGTTAATAGTTACAAATGGAAGGATGAGCTGTCAGGCAATTACACATCCCAGTTTGTGTGGGTTTTATTTCTTCTTCGTTCTGACTTGTATAGCTTTGATAGGTGTGTTGGGAAATTGTAATTTACATAGCCATTATCTCCTCTACTACCTTGGTAGTCAATATTGGGTTTTTTTCCTCCTAATTCAGCTTAATGTTTCTTTTTTCCTCCTGTACTATCTTGTTGGCATACAGTATTGATTGAATAAAAGAAATATGTCATTAGTTTTGAGCAGTTCTGCTATCTACACTAAGTTTTGTACTAAAAATTACGTAATAGGAATTTTAAATAAATCAAAGACCTTATAGAAATACCTTGCTTGTAATACTGTTAACCTATAACGTAGTTGGGACAGAAAAATTTAGGATAATATGACAGTAAATACCAACAAAAAGCAGACATAGTCACTGTGAATTTCAAAGAGGCTTACAGCAGTTGGGGGAGCAGTTAAGAAAATTTCAACATCTTCATATAAAATTTTTTTAAAGCTTTGTCTGGAATAAGGACACAAAGGGTTTTAATCCTGAAATAGTCACATGACTTTGATCCTATGTTTTTATGTACTTACTAACATTGTCATGAGATTTAAATTTTGGTTTATTATACATATGTTGGAGACACTAATTTAGTTCTGCCTTTTTTCTTGTTTTTATTTCTGGACTGTTTATATTTATTAATGTAATGTTGCTATGTATGGATGATGCTATTCAGACTTTAATACTTAATATTTCACTTTTGATTTCTTCATTTAGATGGTCTTCTGATTGTTGGTGTTCACTCAGCTAAGTTTCCAAATGAGAAAGTCCTGGATAACATTAGGAGTGCTGTTCTTCGATATGACATCACCCACCCTGTGGTTAATGATGCAGATGCCAGCCTTTGGCAAGAGCTGGAGGTTTCCTGCTGGCCCACTCTGGTCATACTTGGACCCCGTGGAAACATGTTGTTTTCTTTGATTGGAGAGGGACACAAAGATAAATTATTTTTGTATACTTCAATAGCTTTAAAGTATTACAAAGACAGAGGACAGATCAGAGATAATAAAATTGGAATAAAACTCTATAAAGATACTTTGCCACCTTCACAACTGCTGTTTCCTGGCAAAGTAACAGTAGACCATGTTTCTAAGAGATTGGTAATAGCAGACACTGGACATCATAGAATTTTGGTCGTCTGGAAGAATGGACAAATTCAGTACAGCATTGGAGGTAAAGTTTGTTTCTAATTATGACATATCATGCATTTTTAATGAAAAAGTTCAAGGAAATGTATTAAAATTGAAATTTATAAATAATTATAGAAAGGCAGTATGGATTGACTTTTAACTTCATCAAATTATGTTGTTAATTAATGTGTGGTATCTGAATTAATCTCTTCATGCTCCCTCAGAAAGCAAAGATACCTATAAAGCCCTATTCATAGCAAAAGAATGAAATATTTAGATCAGTACTTTTGAAAGTATATTTGTATACCTTACCTTGTTTTTAAAAATACTACCATAATTATTGTATCTTATGAAAGTGTTGCAGTAAGTCCTCATTTAACACCATCAATAGGCTATGCAATTTCAGGTGAAATAACATAAAACAAAAGTTATACATAGGCTAACTGATACAAAGAAGAGTTAAATTAAGCTCCTGTAGAATGTCATCAACGTTACAGTAAAACAGTGCTGAATGTTATTTGAGGATCTACTCTATGCTCTATATAAATTTTGAATTTTGGGCATTTTAAATGGAAGTATTATATTTAACTTCCCATAAAAATATAGCCATATTTTTAGTTTTTTAAGACTGGAACAGTATCCTATTTTATAAAATCAGACTTAGATTATAAAATAAATAGCCTAGGGTTTGTATATAATTTTACTTCTCTTTCCTTCCCTAAGAGTTTAAGCATGCTCCTGGATCATTTCCCTTTGAGTGTAGCAAAACACAAGAGTCATTCAAGTATAGATCATTTTACTCCATTATCTGCCTGGCTGTAGATTTTAAAAAGGCTCTTACCTAATCTGCATAATTAATAAAATTTTAATAATTTAAAATTTATTATTATTAACAACATATTAATCAAAGAGAAAAGTGATTCATCTCTGCAATTCTGCTTTAGTAAGACATGCAGCAGTAGGACATAAAGTAGGATGCCTACATTCCTAATGCAAATAAACTAATCATACTCCTAACCCCTAGTGCTATTCTTCATATGCCAAGTTATTCTTCCTTTAGCTCTTGATTTTTTTGTTTCTTGTTCATTGTTTTTTGTTAGGGTACCTGTGTTTTATGTTGGGTTTTTGTTGATGTTGTTTAGCATCTTAGTGTTTTGGTTTATGACATGCAGTTAGTAGAATTGTTATTCAATAAGTATCTGTTGTAGCAGGTTGAATTTAAATGGTTTTAAGAGTTTTTAATAGATCCTATAATTTTTGAAATAGTGTATGTGAATTTTTTTTTAAACACAGAATTTCTGGTTTTTTGTGGGTCAGACACTATATTTTCCCCTCACCCAATGACATGATTTTGATTTTAGAGAGAGAGTAAGGGAGGGAGAAAGAGAGGGAGAAAAACATCCATTAGTTACCTCTCACATATGCCCCAACCAATGACCTAACCCACAACGTAGGGTGTGCCCTAATTGGGAATTGAACCTGTGACCTTTCTGTTAACAGGACGGTATTCCAACCAACTGAACCACACCAGCCAGGGCAAATATTTTTTGTTGAATAGAGAACTAGCAGTAAGCTAGCTTTCCCAAACATATGTCTAGGAATATCCTTAACTTGTAATAAATTAATAATTATTCTAGAATTTTTAAAAAAGAATTCTGTCATCAGATATACTTAGGAAACACTGGTTAAATGTGATTTAACAGATTTTTGTTGGTGGTGGTTTTACTGTACTTCTTGTGTCTTTTACTCTAATGTACTTCATACATAACAGCACACAGTACTTTGGAATTTCAAGCGACCACAATTCTCTCCCTTTTTTCCCCATTAGTGAACTGTCACCACCACCAATAATATTGTTATTATTAATAAGGATAATAGTAAAACTATTGATAATAATATTGGTAATATTAGTACAAATATATCTAGAATTATTCTGAGTACTTTACCTGTGTTAATTTATTTAGTCTTCCCAGTGCTATGCGTTTTATTAGTTCCATTTTACAGAAGACAAACTGAGACACAAAGAACTTGACCAGATCATCAGCCTAGAAGATGTAGACCTGGGATTTAAACCAAGTCTGTTGGGCTCTTGAGTTTATGTTCCTTTCCAATGCATTATATTTCCTCTCTTACTAACATCTTGCAGACAGTGGAGTTCTGCAAGCATAGTTTAGAAATGCTGACCTAGAGGCTTTGAATGGCTTGTCCTCTGGTCAAAGAAATAACAATTATATTTTATTCTGCTGTGTACTCTCCATTCTTGAAAGTCCACATGTACTACAAAGGCTGAAAAATAGACCATTAGACCAAGATCGCTCTGTCTCTCACAGTGTTTATGAGATGATATAGAACTTTGTGACAAAGTGAAGTAGTAAATGAAGTATTCTTAACCTAGTATTCATGCACTGTTAAGAAATGCTTGTATGGACTTGAGGGTCTAGGAACCCCTGGAAATTATTTGTGACATATTATGAATATGTGTATTTTTTTATAAGGAGAGGGTTCCTAATTTTCATTGTACAGTTGACCCTTCAGCAGTGTGGGGTTTAGGGATGCCAACCATCCACACAGGAGAATATTCATATATAACTTTTGACTTCCTCAAAACTTAACTACCAATAGCGTAAACTAATAGCCTGCTGTTGACCAGAAGCCTTACTGATAATGTAAACAATCAATTAACACATATATTGTATATTATGTGTTATATACTATATCCTTACAATAAAGTAAGGTAGCAAAAAATATTAAGAAAATCATAAGGAAAATACATTTACAGTATTTATTGAAAAAAATTTACGTAGGGAACTCCTTTCTACTTATTAGATGGAAATGCTGCCTGGTTCATGAATCATTAGATAAAGTCAATTAGCTCTTTAAATTTAAAATAAATGAAAAAATCCCTGTGTAAGTGGACCCACGCAGTTCAATCCCACGTTGTTCAAGGGTCGGTGGTATTATCAAATGAACATGTCTTCCCAAATTGTTAAGTATTATTCATCTGGATGCTAAAAGATGAAAATTATATTTAATTCTTTCTGGTCTAGGACTAGGTAATTAAGATGCTTTCTAAAGTGTTTTCTTTTGATATATGTTACATTAGTTAAGTGCACTAGTACCATTATCCAGTAAGCCCTGTCATTAGCAACACTTGTTACTCTGGAGAAAGACAGGTGTCCTAGGAGACACTTCAGTATTCATGTAGAAACATCATGTTATTTATATTGAAATCTCAGCTTTAAATACAGATTTTATTTTGGGGGGTTTATTAAGTGGAAAAATTTTGTCTTATGGCTATCTGTCTTTTAGGACCCAATCCTGGAAGAAGAGATGGAATATTTTCAGAGTCAACTTTTAATTCACCACAGGGTGTAGCCATAATGAACAATATCATATATGTGGCTGATACTGAAAACCACCTTATAAGAAAGGTAATTTTCCATTTTAAATAAAGTGTTAATGATTCCAATAAGAAAAACTGATACTTGTTGCTACATTAATATTTAAAGTGAGAAGGTGATGCTTAAATACTTCAAATCATCCTTATTCAGCTGTTTTCAGAGCAATTGGTTTTAGTTGTATTCTTAAGTATCTTGTTTCTCTGTGTGTCAGCCTGTAGTTTTCTCAGAAAATAAACTCCTTAATCAAGTCCCTTTTTTTGGTCCCTTTTTTTCAAAATCATGTACCTGCTTACCCCAAAACTCCTCATTTTGTGGTATTTTCTGAACCAGTATTATAAAATGATGCTGTCGTTTTTCAGTTAAATTTTCTGAAACCTAGGGAAAAAATATCATACCACTCTCTGTCTTTCTGCAGTCTTGCTTTGCTTGCAAATACTTATCAATTAAAATTTGTTTTATCTCATGATAAAAGTAATATGTGAACTTGTTTTAAAAAGGTGAATTAATACAAAAGGTAAAAAAGTCCCTGATCATTTATTCTAGCTCCCCGCAGGTAACCATTATTAAAATGTGTGTCTTTTCAGAAATTTTGGACTCATGTACAAATAAATTTATAGTAAAAAGTCTGACTCTAGACAACCCTTTTTTAAACAAATGGTAGAATCCTATGTACTTACATAATCTTCTGCAGTCTTTTTTTAACTTATTTTTTCCATACTAGTTACATGAACGATAGGACTGCATCATATATCCGTTATAGAAGTACGTAGTTATTTCAACATTCCTTATTGATGAATAGTTTGACTGTAATCCAGTGGTCTTTTTAAGTTGCAGTCCTTTTTGAAGAGGTAAAGAGGTAAATTTATCTAACCCATTCTGCCTAAATATATTGTTTCAGATACTTCCTTGCTTTTCTTGCTGTTTCTCTATTGACATTTTTGCCCATTTTATCTAACAATATTATCACATATTATATACGTAATATTCACTGTTCTGTAAATCTCCACGAGGGCACAACATTTGATTTCCTTACCTCCGAACTGCTAAGCATCCAGAAACTGGGCCTAGTTCACAGCGGGTGTTCAGTAGATAATTGCTGAATGAATTTATGAGCAAAGAACATCTTAATGAAGCATTTTCTAAAGTGTATATTTCTCTTAATATGAAAGGTGTTACATAAAAAAAGGTTTTTTTAGATTTATTAATTAAAGCAGATTTTGTTTTTTGAAAGTCTTAGAGACAGTCTCTTGGAGACTTTAATATGCTACTGTATTGTGAATACATTGGTTTCGGGATATGTGTGCAGTCATATTTCTAAACTTACTTGATGAACAATCACTTTTTAGGCAGAACTATTTATGGGACTAATGATTTCATGGTATATACTTGGGCAAAAAAGTGGTTTTCTACTGTTACTAAGTCCTTAAATGTCAATATTTATAATTATCTTTTTGCCCTATCTTTTTGGGGTTGTATGCTTCTTTAATTTATCATAGTCTCATAGACAACAGGGAATTGAAGCAGTGAGTAGTTACCTTGTAACATTGAAGGAGGGCTTTCCTTTTTCAATTGTACATTATTTCTCTTGCTTGAGAACTTACTGGATTTTGAAGTATTGACTGCATTTCAAATACTTTTTAACTAGCATAATCACAAATTTAGGTTACCTGAAGTTATTTTTATATTATATGACTTAGTTTAGTTTCTGCAAAAATAAGAAGTGAAATGAAATTATTATTTCTTCCTCTCTTTTAAAAATATTTATTGTATTTTACTTTTTAAGACCTCCTTTACAGAGGATTGGTCATAATCTTACCTTTACAGCTCACATTTTTTCCTGTAGACCTGCCTCTTGTTTAGAATAATTTATAACTTACAAATTCCTCTTCATCCAGATTCCCATTTTTTTTTCCTGCATAAGCACACCTGCAGGCAGGCATTCTGATATGCTTAGGTCATCTTCTTATTTGTATATGACCTTGTAAAACATGTAGTGTTTTGTGGACTTGTTTTTTTTAACATTATACATTTTATGTTGCAAAAATTTCAAATACAGAAGTCAAGAATTTTTAGTACATTTAACAAGTTGTACAATCATAACCATAAATCATTTTTAGAACATTTTCATCCTCCCAGTAAGAACCTTCACACCCATTACAGTTAATTCCCCTTCCCATCCCACAGCACTCATCTTAAAGAGACAGTCTCTTGAACATTCCATACAAATAGAGTCATACAATATGTGGTCTTCTGTGTCTGGCTTCTTTCATTCTACGTAATGTTTTTGAGGTTCATCTGTAGTTTATTCCTTTGTATTGCTAAATAGCATTCCATTGTATGGATATACCACATTATGTTTGTTCATTCACCAGTCGAAGAACATTTAGGTTGTTTCCAGTTTTTGACTGTTACGAATAAATAATTCATGTACAAGTTTCATGTGGACATACTTTTTTATTTTTCTTAGCTCGATACTTAAGTACTCAAATTGTTGAGTCGTATGTTTTATATTTTATGTTTTAACTTTTTGAGAAACTGCTAAACTTTTCCACGCTGGTTGCATCATTTTACATTTCTACCCCCACTATAGGTGGGTTTAATCTCTCCATGTCTTCACCATTACTTGTAATTACTTGTAGGTTTTCCATTTTTTAAAATCTAGCCATCCTATGAGGCATGAAGTGGTTTCTCATGCTTTTGATATGCATTTCCTTAATAAGTAATGATGTCAAGCGTCTTTTCCTGTGCTTGTGGACCACTTGCATATCTTCCTTTCGGAAGTGTATTCAAATTCTTTGCCAGTTTTTAAATTGGGTTATTTGTGTTTTTTATTATTGAGTTATAAGAGCCCTTTATATATTCTAGCTACAAAGCCCTTATCAAATATATAATTGTCAAATACTTTTTTTACATCCCGTGGTTTGCCTTGTTATTTTTTTAGTCATGTTTTTGATGCACAAAAAATTTAAATTTTGATGATTCCTAATTTATTGTTTTTCTTTCATTGCTTTTGCTTTTTGGTATCACATGTAAAAATCCATTGCCGAATTCAAGGTCACAAAAATTAAGTCATGTCTTTTCTAACAGTTTTATAGTCTTGACTCTTACAGTTAGGTCTTTGATGCATTTTGAGTTAATTTTTATATATGGTGTAAGGTAGAGATCCAATTCATTCTTTTGCATGTGGATGTCCAGTTCTCTCAGAATCTTTTTTTCTTTAAGAGACTGTTCTTTCTCCATTGAATAATCATGGCAAACTTGTAGAAAATCAATTATTCATACATTCATGGTTTTATTTTCTGGACTTTCAGGTCTATTCCGTTAATCTATAGCACACTGCTTTGATTCCTGTAACTTGTAGTAAGTTTTGAAGTCATTTAAGTATGTCTTCCCACAGTCTGTTTTTTCAACATTGTTTGGGTATTCTGGGTCCCTTATAATTCCCTATGAATTTTAGGATCAGCTTAATCCATTTCTGGAAAAAAGACAAATGACAGGTTTATATTTTCCCTTCTTATTTATACACTTCTTGTTTTATTATATTGCTGGGTAGAATCTTAGTTGCTTTCAAGTATTAGCAATGATAGTGGGTATTTAGTCGTGCTCATAATCATAAAGGGAATGTGTGTAAATATTCTGCAGTGTTTAATATTTTCTGTAGTTTTAGGAAAAAATATTGATGAAGTAAAGAAACATTATATTCCTAGTTACTAAGAATTATTTTATTAAACAATTTTTAAAGTAAATTTTTTGTGTTCATTGAAGTAATTGTGTAAACTTTTTGCCCCTCAGTATGTTGATATGATGAATTATAGTAATAGATTTTTTTTAATGTTAAACCATCTTTTTATTTCTGGGATAAACCTTGCCTAATGATAAATTTTTTTAAAGTCAAGTTGGATTCGGTTATCCAAAATTATATTTAGTATTTAAAAATTCACATTTATTAATTAAATGGATCTATATTTTCTTGTACTATTGTAACCTGGTTTGGGAATTAAGGTCACACTGACCTAATCAAATGAGGTAGTTTTCTTTTTTTTCCTTCTTTATTTTTTTTTTACTTTTGGAAAAATTTGTCTAACATAGGAATTAATGTTTCTGAACATTCATTAGAATGCTCCAGTAACATCACCTGGACCTGGCATTTTTGCAAGAGGAATTCTTTGATTATTAAGTCAGTTTCTATGATACATTTCTTATTTTAAGGGCCTGTTCCTAGCTGACTATTGCAGTTTAGCAGATATGAGTTCAGTAAAAATTTAGATAAGGTTATATTAATCATATTCTTTACAGTTTCAAGAGATTTTAGAGATGCCACTAAAAATAATGCTAGAGGATACTGCTAAAGTAAATCAATGCAATTCACCATATTTAAAGGAATCAAAGAGAATAACTATATGATTATATTTAGAAAAACATTTTTAAACATTTAATACCTATTCATGATAAAAATTAGCAAACTTCAGAAGGAAATGAACATTGTGAATATGATAAAGGGCATCTACAAAATGCCTGTAGCTACACTTAATCCAAAATATTGTTTGCTTCTCCTCTAAAATTATGAACAAGGAAAGGATTCTCACTCTCACCACACTGGTTAAACATTGTACTGGAAGTACTAGCCATTGTAATATGACAACAAAGAGGAATAAAAGGTATACAGGCTGCAAAGGAAGAACCGTTTTTATTTGCCAGTAGCATGTCATGTACATAGAAAATTCTATGAAATCTGTTGAAAAGCTACTTGAACTAATAAGAGAATTTAGGAAGATTGCAGAATGCAAAGTCAATGTAAAAAGATCAACTGTGTTTTTATAAACTACTAAGAGTCAATTGGAAATTAAAATTTTAAAATTCTTGTTACAGTAGCAACAAAAATATAAAATATTTAGATTAAATTTAGATTTAATAAAATACATAAAGACTTGTGTACTTCAAACTGTAAAGCTTGCTAAGAAAAATTAATTCAGTATTGGATTGAAAGGTTCAATATTAAGATGTCATCTCTCTCCAAATTGACCTTTAGACTCTGCGCAATCCCAGTCACAACTCCATCAGGCTTTTTTGTAGATAATGGCAAGTGGCTTCCAAAATTTACATGAAAATGCAAAATCAAGGATTTATTACATTTAAAATAATTGAAAATGAACAGAGTTAAAAGACAGTATTTGATTTCAAGATTTACTATAATGTTACACTAATCAAGATGGTGATACTTTCTTAAGAATATATAGATCAATAAAAAAAAAAATGAAGTGCCTAAAATAAATGCCATACCAAGTACCAAAGTTGTTTGATTTTCCAAAAAGCATCAAATCAGCCAAGGGAGAAAGGGAGAAATGTAAGAATGACCCTGTGGTCATTTATATTTCCTTTTTAAATGTATTCCAATTGTGCTTGGCTGGTAATTGACAGATAGAGCTTAATTACTGATTTAAGTACCATCCATCCATTCATCCTCCTAATGACTGTGGTTTTTATTCTTTTACAGGAAACTGAAGCCCAGATCTTTATGTAACTTTCTTAAGATCCCACAGCTATTAAGTCAGGATCTGGGATATGAACACAGGCAGTTCTAGTTCTATTACACTGTATTGCCTTTAATGCATAAACTCACAACTAGTGCATTCTGCTGAAAATAAGATGCTCTTGTTTCATCTCCTGAGACCCTTCCCTCAAAATTTTACCATGAAAATTTTCAAACATAGAAAAAGTTGAAAGAATTTTGCAGCAAAGATCCATAAATATACCATCTATTATCAACATTTCACTTACCAGCTTTATCACATATTTTATCCAACTACCAATCTATCTACCAACAATGTATGGTAGTTCCAATTGCACTTACCTTTAAAATATTTCATAGTTAAGATGAGATCAACACCAGTTCCAGTAGAAGCATGATGAGGGAGGTGGGTAAGAGGAAAGTAGGGGAATGGATGGGTAAGGAATGAAAAGGACTGAGTTTTGTGCTTTTTGAATAGGAAGGTCGCCCTATCCTTGATTAGCTTTTCTTTAAGCTTTTTTTTTTTTTTTTAAAGAAAGGGTTTTTGTGTTGCAAATATTTGGTATATGTTCTATTGAAAATCTTCATGTACCAAAACAAAATAAAAAGGAACATGCATAAAGTATATATTAATTTCTGCAGATTGACCTAGAAGCTGAGATGGTGAGCACCGTAGCTGGCATTGGGATTCAAGGAACAGATAAAGAAGGTGGAGCTAAAGGAGAGGAACAACCCATTAGTTCCCCATGGGATGTAGTATTGGGGTCATCAGGTATGAAGCTTCTAATATAAAATATAAGTAAACTTTGCTTAATCAATGTAAGATTTTAAAAACATTCTGGGGCTGTTCATTTGGATTACTTCTATTGCTAATAATTTTATATTTTTATGCCTATGGCTTGGGATTTGTTAATTGTGTAAAAGCAAAGCCAGCAGTAATGTATACAAGATAGAGTATATATTATGATATATGTAACATTACAAATTTATACACATGATAAAGTATATATTACTCTAAATTAACATTAAAGAATGTCATCTTAGCCACAGCTTCCAAATAATGTAGTTCTGAATACTCTTAAATTAGAATTATTATAGTTTCAGGAGTTCAAAAGATTATTCATGAACTATATACCATTTAACAATGTCCTTTTTATTCTAGTTTGAAAATTAGTTTAAAATATGATAGTTTCTTTTTTTAGATTAAAATTTGTATTGAAACGTGATAGCATCTTTTTAAAAATTAAAATAAAAACTTTACCCTACTGAATTCTGTAGATACTGCCAATTAATAAGATTGACATTATCTTTACAATCTTTATTACCTACATTAATTGACTATAAGATGATTCAGGGGCGTAAGTACTCTTAATTTTCATTGGCTCTCAGTGATATTGAGACAGATATCTGCATGTCTAAAACCACAGTAATCAATAAAGTAAGTTAGTAGAATATATTGAAAATGGAATTTAGGAGTAAATTGTTTGGTCTTAATATATTTATAGAGTAAGTAAGCATCAGTTTAATTGAATGCCTTTACATTTGAGATGATTTTCTATTATATGCCAATTTGCTTACAATTCAAAGACCTTAATTTTTTCATTGTAATTAATATTAATAAAATAACTGAATGAACTGTTGGTACTACCTGTACTAAAAAATATATATGTAACTTAGGTAATTTTGCATAAGGTTTTTTTTTTTTTTAATTTTCATTTTTGGAGTTCTGTGTTTTAATAATCATAGTAGGGAAAAGGTTGGGAAGATAGAAGTTGCAGTACATCCAAGATGCAATCAATAAGGTAACAGATTATATGTAGACAATTTGAAACAATGGTAAAATTAACTACAACTCAGTGTTCTTTCCATCACCAAGCACCAGCAATTCTAAATAATTTCAGGGTTAAAAATACTCATCCCCACTAGGACTTACCCTGCCTCCCTGCCACTAGCTGTTTCAGCATAAATCTTTTAGGTGGAAAAATAGTCTGAAGCATCCCTATCAGTAAAGTAGTCAAAGTGGATGAGAACTGTAACTTTGGTGTGCTGTTACCCTCCCCAAGGAAAAAAATGGCTGCCCTTAGTGTGTGGGCCCTCAATGACTTAGAGGTACTAGTCCTTATAGAATTCAGTTACTGATTTTTACATTTGCAACTTACAGCCTGTATTTATTTACTCTGTCTGTCAGTAACTGCCGCAATAATGCTTCATAAGATATCATCCAAAAATTCATACAAACCTAAACCTTTATTTCTCACTCACATATGGGATTGGGGATCAGCTGATCAAGGCAGAGCCTGGGCTTGGTTTCAAGGTGTTCCTTGGGTGCACGTCTGCTCCATTTGCTTCTCCTCCTCCTTGGACCAGAAGCGCCTTGGGCATATTCTTTTGGCAAAGGGCAGAAGCATAAGAGAATAAGCCCAGTTACACATATTAAGCCTTTGCTATGTCATCTCTGCTTACCTACTGTTACCAAAGTAGGTCATGTAACTAAGCTTAGATTTATGGAGCGGGGATAGGCACTTGGCCTACAATGAGGCCGTGTCAAAGGTGTGGGCATATAATATTAGTACACAGGAGTGAAGAATTGAGACCAGAAATTCAATCTGTCACATATATCAGAATTTACATTGTTTATAAACAGGATGCTTTCCTAAGTTCAATTTATTTAATGGCCAAGGAATGCTTAAATATTTTTCTAGGGTAAAATTTTTTCAACCATACTTTATAGCATGGAATTTCTGGTTGTTTGTCTTGTATTGAAATGCACCCAAATTGCTTTCCAAGGAAAATCTTGGCTCTATGGACAAGTGCTCCCTCAGCTTCCAGCTGGAGTGACATGCTCTCTGAGGCTTTTGTGTCATTATTAAGCTCAGTTTTCAGTCAAGGAAGTGAGTCCTACCTTACTTAGCTTAACAGCATTATAAGCAGGTGGCTCTTCCTTTAACTTACAGCTTAAAATAGCTTCACTTCAGGTACTTGGCAAGAGGATGAGTAATCTTGAATGCACTTAAACTCAACACTTTTCAAAGTGCTGGCTAGGAGAAAAAGGTTTCCGAGCACTGTATCAAGGACCTATAATCACAATGACTACTCTAGCCCAAGAGTTTTTAACCTTGATGGTTAGGCTTTACAAATTCCTTAAACTTCCCAGAAATTCTTTTTAAGATTTGGAGGAATTGGTCAGGTTCCCATTAGAGTTTCAAAGAGTTCTGTTACCCAAAACATTTTAAGAGCTACTAATTTAAATTACTTTAAAATCTAATCCTGGGTTCATGTATTGTCAGAGTATTGGGAAACTGGATCATAGAATATTTGTTTTCCTTACAGTTGTTTTTACTATATTTTGGCAACATGTCATTCATTAAAAAATATATCAACACAAAATCGTATTCACTTATATGTTTGTGTATGTGTTTCATATTATGTATTTCATCAAAACACAGCCCTATGGAACTTGTTCCTGTTTTTACTGTAGGATTTGCTGGTGGTTTTGGATATTGCCTTATTAATAACCTCTCTGATTATTGACTGGAAAAATTTTTTTCTGATCTCAATATTATATAGTTACGCTTTTTCCTAAGTGTTGTTTGTTTTTAAGTGCCTAAATTTGAATGTCATAAATGATTGTGTTTGCATTGTTGTATTGAAAGCTAGGAAACTGAGACAAATTTACCTTTACCAAAGGGTAATGGAAATATGACATTCAATTTTTAATATTAGTATAACTTCATCTCTTGTTTTCTACCTTAATTACCTATTGCTTCAATTTTCTTGCTGATTTTAAATGCATTTCTCTTATTAGGGTTTATTTCTTTGTAAATTATGTGAATCCTTTGTGTAGTAAAAGCAGAAGTAAATAGCCCTGGCAGGCGTGGCTCAGTTTGTTGGAGCATTGTCCCATAAATCCGTAAGGTCGCAGGTTCGGTTCCCAGTCAGGGCACATGCCTGGGTTGTGGCTTTGGTCCCTGGCTGGGGCACGAATGAGAAGCAACCAGTCGATGTTTCTCTCTCACATCGATGTCTTTATTCATCTTTCTCTCCTTTCTTTCCCATTTCACTAAAATCAATAAGCATGGCCTCAGGTGATGATAAAAAAAAAAAGTAGAACTAAATAAACAGTAGAATCCCTTGCTGAAGTGATGGGCCATGATAATTGATATGTTAGGGGGAAAATCTATTAAATCAGAATCATAAAGTAAAAATGCTTTATTTTAATTTAAGAGCTACATGTAATTGTACATATAAATGTACAACTTTGGCCAATTTTTAATGTAGGACCACCTCTAATTCAAGAACAATTGAACTTAGCTACATTTCTTTGAGTCTTTCCAAAGTATTCAACTTTGTTTTCATAGAAACAACTTCCTTTTTGCATTCAGGTTGAATTGGTTCATATAAATTTAAATTACATAATTGTACAACTGGTTTAAACAGATTTGGAATTAAACACAATTTTAAGGGCATTATGGATGAGAAAAATTGTCCTTATAAATACTTAAGTTTTTAATATTTTAAGAATTTGATAAAATGTTTTTGAAATTCTACCATAGTTAGGAATTTGAGAGTGGCATTATTGGGAGAAAACATGAAAAATAAATTAGGCATTGTGATAGCTTCATGCATTAGGCTGTTCTGCAGTACAAATAATGAACTATAGCTGTACCTTGCAGCAAGGACAGGTATCAGAAGGAATTCGTTGATGAATTAAAACAAGTTTCAGAAGAGACCACAATATGATTTTTTTGTAGAAAGTTTAGTAGCAAACAAGACTAATTAATATATTGAGAGATCAATCCAGATATAGTAAAACTAAAAAAATAAGAAAGTGAAAAATATTTTTTTGACTGATGGTTCCTTCTGATAAGTCAGAGAGAGAAGCACAAATGTTTTCTTTCTTGAGTCAGGTGGTGTGCATATGGGTGTTTAGTAATTATTAAAACTTTATAACATGTATTTATTTATATGCATATTTAATTAAAAATCAAACTTTAAAAGGAAGCAAAATAGATTAAAGAGAATGAAAAATAACAAACACTAATACATAGTTAAATATATACACTACCAAGAGACCCAGCTACTAAACAAAGGGACTTGAAATACCTCTGATTATTTGAATCATACATGTAATATGTAAATGTGTTTGTGTATGTATTTTAAATAGTGTCTGAATATTTAACCTAACTATGCCATTACAGTGATAAAAGTATAAAAATAAAGTGATTTTTACAAAAGTGATTATTTCACCTTTGTTGATTTTTATCTCTCTAAATATTATCAGAACTACAGAATGCACCGAAAGTAATTACTAACTACAATAAGTTCATTTTTCAGCAGAAAGTCTGCTGTGTTTCTAAATGCATGACTTTACTCATGCCAGACAATAACCTGAAAGATTTTTTACCATAAAGTCCAAAACCCCCACTATTCTCTAAGTAGACTTTACCTGATTTAGAATCATTTATAGAAAGAATAATGTGCCTGAATCCTATTAATCTTCCTTGGCCTTTTAATCAGTATTTTCCCTAGATAGACATTTAGCTGTTCTTATACAACCTTTTATGATCAAAATTCAACTACTTAGTATGCTAGTCTTAAAATCTACAGTGTTGGTACTTATGTGCTTGAATAATATATTTTGCAGGGTTCAATTAATATGCTATAAAATACCATAAAAACATTCACTCTCTAAAAATCAGATGATACAGAATTTTTGAGGAATAAATTTTATGCAGTGTGACTGGTGTATTTTTTATATAATTAAAAGCAGTT